ACGTTTGGTCAAAGGATCGACTTCACTTGTCTCTTTGACGAGTTGTTGTGTGGTGCTAAGAATGGCGAGATTCACTGATGACGCCGGCGAAAGGTCTGAGAATGTACCACGTCCACCTTCCGACTTTGGAAATGATTATGCATACAATGGACTCCGGACTAGGTGCGTTCCTCTAAGTCTTCCTACCAATATGAACAAGTTAGGAAAACAAGATCAAACAACTTGTACGCAACGAAAGGAGACTGCGATCACACAAAAGGCCACATCATCTTGGTCTTCATAGCTGAAAGTGAAAATAATCCCAACAATTTTTATGCATAAAAAGACCAAAAATAAGAACGACATAACAACGATATATGAAGCATCGAAAAGGTTTCACAAAATAGTTCTTCAAACAAACAAAGGAGGTGTCACAGTGATGATGGGCAGAAAAGAATACAGAGAGAAAATGGAAAATATCTTCTGGGACCGAGTAACTTATCGGCTGCTAAGAAAGAAGCCAACAACTATGATCAGAGAGGCGCTGCAAAAGATGCCGAATTAAAGGAATATAAACGTGTGGATCTGCAATAGCTACTTAGTTCACTGTTACGAAAGGATGCAAAACTACTGAAAGCATAGTGTTTGCCGAAAATACACAAAGAAAGCGAACCACGGAGACTGAAAGTGGGCAATGAGTACGGAGTAACACACAAAGTGGCGCAATTTGTCTGTCTTAAATTAAAAAAGGTAAATAATAAGCTATCAAACTTAGTAAAAAATACATGAACATTTTGTCAAAGAATCTAATAAATTAGATTTGATGGAACATAAATTTGGTGGGCTTCGGTGTTCAGTCCATACCAACGAACATCTCAAGAGAGAATGCGCTCACTGCACTGCAGGTGATCTTGAATTTGGAGGATTATGTCGTGAAGATGGAGTAAATCCGAAAGAAGTCTCTGGCTTGATTGGTCAACCTGACGATAGGAAATACTTATTTCATATTCAGCTACCTCATCGTTGAAGAGATATTTGGTTTTTGTGACATGATTCTCCATTTCGAAGGGAAAGCAAGTAGGAAAGAATTCGTGATCTGGTCTCACCGGAAACCAAAGGAGGATTGCCGCGTAGGGAAGACTGTATAATTGAGACGACATCACGAATTCCTTCCTACCTACTTTCCCTCCAAAAAGGAGAGTCATGTCACAATATATCACTAAGGAATTCTTCAAAATCCTGTTTTTTTTCATATTTTAGATATTTGGTCTGTTTATAAGCAGACCGCCAGTCTCCCCTCGGTTGGCTGATGCCTACATCAACAAGTTGGAGGAGGACTTCACGACGTCACCTCAGCGGGTAACACTAAGCATGCGATGCCTGGAGGACGAATTCACATTCTGGTCGAATGTAAAGTAGAAACTGCACGAGCTTTTCATCTTCTTAAACAATATTGATAGAAAAGTCCAATTTGTGATTGAGATGGAAGAGAAGGGAAACCAACCAGTCTTGGAGGTAGGAGTCATTGGGTTCGAGGAGATTC